ACGTGGATGTGACTGTCTGCGAAAATATGCAGAAGAAAGTAAAACTGAAAACTCTGAACTCCTAAGATCAACTAAATTAAGAAAACAGGTCGCCACACTCTGCCAACTCTTGGACCTTACTGAACAAGAGCTGGAGCAAGTTGCAAGGTTCATGGGTCATGACATCAGAGTTCACTGTGACTTTTACAGACAGACTGACAAAACATTCCAAATTGCCAAAATAAGTAAGCTTCTGTTTGCAATGGAGCAAGGCACTGAAACCTTGAGAGGGAAGAACCTTAACACACTTCGTCCTTCAGTAAGTGGTATGTATGCACTATGTATGTTTATTGCTAGTGCAATTTTATGCTTTTGCTAAGCATCTAGCTGTAACATTTTAACACACTGCGGTTTTGGTACCACAATGCAGGGTTTCATAACCCTAAAAGAGGTGCTAACTAGTGTTAATTTTGTCAGCTATTTTTAATATAGTCTTAGTCCTGTGTCAAATATAACTTTTAGTTTTTGTCATATTTAGTCAACTTGTCCTGTTTTAGTTTTAGTCAAGTTTTAGTCGACTATGGCCTGGTTTCACAGACAGGGCTTAGACTAAACCAGGATTAAGCCATAGTTCAATTAGGACATTTAGGTAATTTTTATAAACGTGCTTAGGAAAACATTACTGGTGTGCATCTTGAGACAAAACAAAGGCACTGATATATTTTAAGATCAGTCATTGCTAGATTCTTTCAGTTGAAACAGCTCAGACTTACGTTTAATTCTAGGACTAGGCTTAACCCTCTGGGGTCTGAGTGTGTTTTGGGGCCCTGGAAAAGTTTTGACATTCCCTGACATTTCTGTTTTTTCAGTATCTTAAAAGCCTATTAATGGCTTTACACTGTAATCAGCACAAACTGGGCTACAATAATATGTGAGCAGCATGAATGTACATGTTTGTGTTTTTGAGAAAACAACGTTTATGTGTGGTTAGTGAAAAACTAACATATTTAAGTCACTGAAATAAGACCAATAAACACATACAGAATATTTGTTCACAAGACTTTTTAGAATTGGATGTGGTAGACTAGAGTTTTTGCTACAAAATGATGTGAAAATCATTCTGCTCACTCATTCACAGAAAACAATATATTTATTTAACTTATGCAAGAAAGCTGCATGTGTTAGAAAGCTGTATGCGAGGGAGTGACAATGGCCATGAATATTTAGTGATTCACACCTGAGAGACAAAGGGCCTCCCATA